CGAGGCGTCTGTGCTCCTCCTTCTCAAACGACCAAACCACCTAAGCCGCGCTTCCCGTATCTTGTCCTCAATAGGGGCGACACAACCTTATCGCGAATAACCTCATTTCTGATCATATCTAACCTGGTGTGCCCGCACATCCATCTCACATCCTCATCTCTGCTACCTTCATCTTCGGGACATGAGCGATCTTGACTGGCCAACACTCAGCCCCTTGCAACATCGTTGGCCTGACCACCACTTTGTAGAACTTACCCTTAAAGTTTCGGTGGCACCTTCTTGTTACACAAAACACCGGAAGCGAGTCTCCATTTCATCCATCCCGCCCCAATACAATGTGTGACATCTTCATCAATCTCCCACCCCCCTGAATAATAGACCCAAGGTACTTAAAACTCCCTCTTCTAGGGATGACATACGAGTCCAGCCTTACCTCCCCTTCCCCTACTTGAGTCTTGCCACTGAACTTACACTCCAAGTATTCTGTCTTGGTCCTGCTCAAGTTAAAACCTTTAGATTCCAGGGTCTGCCTCCAAACCTCTAATTGCGCGTTCACACCATCTCGCGTCTCGTCAATCAATACAATATCATCTGCAAATAGCATGTACCATGGCACCTCCCCTTGGATGTGGCGCGTCAGTACGTTCATCACCAGAGCAAACAAAAATGGGCCGAGTGCCGACCCTTGATGCAACCCCATCATAACCGGAAAATGGTCCAAGTCCCCATCCACCGTCCTCACTCGGGTCTTTACTCCATCATACATGTGCTTAATCAACCTAACATAGGCAAACATGTACATCTCTAGCCTCCAAACATCTCCACAAAACCTCCCTCAGAACTTTATCGCACGCCTTTTCTAAGTCGATGAATATCATATGCAAGTCCTTCTTTCTTTCCCTATACTGGTCCATCACTCTCCTAACAAGGTGGATGGCTTTTGTAGTTGAACGCCCCGGCATAAACTCAAACTGGTTCTCGAAAATAGTCACATTCCTCCTCACCCTTATCTCTACCGAAAAAAGGAAAAAAATAAAAGGTTATTAGTTGGATTAGAAAATATGTCAGGATGCAAGCAGGTTCCAAATAATTTTTTGCAGAAAATGCAATAAGTTAAAATTATGGAAAGTGGTTTCGTAACACCAGAAAGGAATTTAATGCCTCACATGATTTGGCTAAACAGGTATGTATAAGAGTTTGGTTAACAATTTTAAAAACTAAAAGGCTAAAATTGTCACTTAAAATAGTAAAGATTCTTGCCAAATTGGTAAGTAAGTTAATTAAGAGCTTCTGATGTAATTTGCCGAATTTTTTCCTCGCATCATACAAAAGTTAGTGAAACCATAATTAATGCCAGAAAAGAATTTCAAAGGCATGAAATCCCCCAAACCTCTTTGCATTTAATGCTAATTTTCCCAGCCACATGACTTGCCATCACTTACAAACTGCAAAGCTAAGCCAACCTTCACCGGTCACTGCACCGACCCCCCCTCCTTATAAATGTAGCTTTATATTTTCTCCATCTTGTTGACTTGATCAAAATACGAGATATTCTAATTAACATTATGTGATGTTTGTTTATTTTGGGCTAAGCTTATACGTTTTTTTTTTCAAAAAGAACCCACGTCAATTAGGAAATTCCTATACCTTATATATAAATAAATTCTCAATCTTTTCAATTACTAATGTAAGATTTTATTCGCACTCCGACTATCTTTCCCTTGAACACTATGTGTCACCCACATCGCCAGAGTATTAATTAACTTCTTTTGTGCGTCTCTAAGCTCGATAGAAAAAGTAAAGCGAGCCCCATGCCGCTACCCTTCCATCGCCATATTCGTCATACTGATCAACTTGGGCTGTAATACCAGTTGTTAGACTAAACTAGCTTGAGATATTCGTAATACGGTGTGATATTGTCCGTTTTGAACCAACTCCGCATGATTTATCCCAAAAGGTCTCACCCCATTAAAAAATTCCTACGCCTTATAAGTTCCCTATCTTTTCAACCACCAACATTTCAGTTTGGTCTAAAAAATGCATATAAGATTGGTAAAATGAGAAGTTTTAAATTGAATCATATCTAATATATAAAATTGTCATTTGTTTAGATATGCATAATAAGGTAATAGTATCACATAGAAAGGAGTACTTCATATGCTACTTGTTTACAAAGTAAAAATCAATATCTTTTACTCCCTATTTGTGGTTCTGCTAACTCTTACATATATAATGGACGATTCGGGTCGATAGTGAAAAATCTCAAATAATTGAGGCTTAATTATATTTTCTTCCTGTCCTAAAGTTTTCGTAAAATTAAATAAAGAAAAAAATTATGGAAACTGTAATAGGACATGATGGGATGACTTGCTATATTGGTATGACAAAATTTGGAGAAAAGTTTGTGCATTATATTGCTTTTAGCTCTTTTTGGGCGCCATAAGTGAGAAGTCTGATTGCCCTTACTCCTGCTCAAAGTTAGCCAACTGGATCTCACCAAATTCTACATTCATTACCAATTAACTCCATCCTTTATTAATGTGCAGGTAGCTAGACAACTTGTTTGGCTCCTGAAAGTGACTTTTACTCTGACAATAGTGTAAATATATTTTATTCTATCAAAGTAATTGGAAAGTTTTGTTCAAAACTCTTGCCTGCATGGCGGACAAGCTGTCACGTGACACCACTTTGTCAGAATTTTATCAAATATATATAAATAATTAATATTTAAAATAAAAATATTGAATATAAATATAAAAAATAACACCATTTTTTTATTTTATTTTTTTATAGTGATTTATTCATTTATTTATTTCACTATATTTTTTACACTGCTTACTAAAAATTCTGTGCATGCCCCTATCTGCCTTATACCGTGCATAAGATCTCGAAGCACTTACCATAAGAAAATAGAAAAAGAAGATATGACTCAAGCTATATGTTGTATGGGTTGGGTTGTTTCCCCTTTGAAGCGGTACGTGAGCTGGTTTCAGACTTTCCAACAACGCTTTTTTCTTACGACTTCACCCCAGTGACTAGCTCACCCTTGTGTCCTCGGCATTTCCCTCCTTGCAGTTAAGATAACGATTTAATTTCAGGCATGGTCAGCTCTCTTAGCTAGTGTGATGGGCAATGCGCATAAGGCCAGGGTTGAAATTTGTAGCGTCAAACGTCCATCGGGTTTGTCGTTATTTTAGTTTCTTACTCCCTTCGGTCCACAATAAGTGACCAGTTTATTTTTTTATTTGGTCCAAAAAAGTGTCCATTTATATAATCAAGAAAGAATTCAATTTGTGTTTACAAAATTACCCTTATGTACGTATTCCTACAGAGTTTTCTTACTCCTCACATTAGATATTTAATTAAGGGTAGTTTAGTCATACTAGGTATTTTTGTATAGAATTTGGTATTTTCTTAATGGGCGTGCCAAAAGCAAATTGATCAGTAATTGTGGACCGGAGGGAGTAATAAACATATTTATTCATAATAAGTGAAATTAAAAACTTGAAAACCAAGACACATGACTTATTAGAGCAAGTTAAACAGGGGCGGACTTAGTGCATGGACTACGGGTTCCCGGGAACCCAGTAACTCTTGCGTAGACTCTGTATTTATATTAAGAAATTCACTAAATATTGGTAAATATTTGACTGTAAACCCAGTTATTATTGCATATTAATCTGAAATTCTGTAGAAACTCATAAGCCTCAAATCCTGGATCCGCCTCTGAAGTTAAAGCGTACCTATGATGTGAATATTTCATTACACTATCAATTGATTTATTAACTCCAATAAATTGATATGGAAAATAACCAAGGATGCGTGCACTGAATTACTATCTAGAAGTAACTTATTAAATACTATACCTTTTTGGTGCTAACAAGATAAATTCATATCTTCTTCTTATCTTGGAATAACAAATTATACAATGAAAAATGCCGCAAAACTAGTTTTAAGAAGAATTCATCATGCAGGGTTCATAACATAACGTGGGGGAGTTGAATTTCCAATAGTTATATGGGTGTCATGTTTTGATGCCCATGTGAATCTGCAACAAAAGTCTGTTGGTAACGACTATTCATGTCCACAGTGTATGTAATGTTTGCTATTGGTGTAAAAATGTGTATATAACTCAAATGTTTATTGGATACACCGTCCGCATAAAGAAATTTTTACACTATTAGGTCATCTAAAAAATATCGGCAGGTAAGCCTCCAAAAACTAGATCACGAGATGGGGATTGTCCAAGTAGCTCATGAGGCGAGGATGACCCTAAATCATATAAGGAGACCATGAAACACTCATCCACCGATGTGGGACTCAACACCCAAACTGAAATGCTTGTGGACAACATAATGGGGGCCTAACATGGTAAACAATAAATGGAAATAAGCCTGACTCTTGATACCATATTAAATATATCTTGGGTCTAACTCAACCCCAAAAGCTAGCTCAAGAGATGAGGATTTCCCAAGACCATATAAAGAGACCACGAAATCCTCATCCCACCAACACGGGACTCAACAATAGATTACCTACTATAACAGGTAAATATGATCAAATTACGTACACTAAAGGTATATATAACTTAAACTCTTATACAAAATTGTTTTACTACTTCATTGATGGGACTAACCCTCCTCCCTTTTTTGGAGATCAATTAATCATCTATCACCTCAATTTAATTAGTAATTAAAACGCCCTCAGCTGAAGGTTTCTATAAGTAACAACTAGCTAGAGGTGGAATCAGAATTTGAACTTATTCTAAATTCTAAGATTGGTTAGTAACAAGATTCTGAATTCAGTTTTTATACATATTTAGTGAAGTTCTCAATATAAATACAAAGTCTGAACTAAAATTATTGAGTTCAGCTGAATCCGGAAGTAACCTTCTAGCTAGCTCCACCCATGTCAAAAATTTGGTGTGTGCACACAAGTCTTGTTAATATATTCTCTTTAATTATGAAATGTACCATATAACATGTACAAGATTACTCAATTAGCTAGCTAGAATGTAGATTATGCAAAGGAAATAATTCACCTTGTTATCAGTCACAACACCAATGAAACTTTCTTTTCTTCTAGGAGGAAAAAGATAGCATGTGACATTGCTACCTCAGAAATTTGAAGAATAATTCTTTCCCATACATGTACAAAATTTGAACAACAATCATAACTGTTGTATATCAAAATCTTTGTCTGTGAGTAAGAAGGATCTTGTGCTTGAGCAAATTAATTCCAAATACAAAACAACTCCAAAGATGACGTTGGATTTCAAATACATATCAATTTCAGAAGATTACAATGACCATTTCAAACGTTGTACCAATTTACCATTATTTTAACAGCTCATGCAAAGTGCATGACATTTTACCATTTCATATCCCATCAAAGTACATATAATTCATGATATTTAACTATGTATGGTTCATTCTTGTACTAATAACATAGAACAAATGGAGATTCTTCATTATCTTGCAACTTTCCCCCACTTCACTTTGACATTCATTTTCCAAATGTTTTATGTATTGCCCATATGTTCATGTATTGCCACTTCATTTGTGTTTGGAGATTCTTTGGTCGATGCTGGGAATAACAATTTCTTGTTTACGCTTTCAAAGGCTGACTCTCCTCCATATGGCATAGACTTTAAACCTTCCCATGGCCACCCCACTGGAAGATTCACCAATGGTCGCACCATTTCAGATATTGTTGGTAATTTTGCCAATCTAAGTTTGCGAGTTGATTCATACTTATTTGATACTTGAGCATTAGCTTCTATGTTCTAACGGTTTAATTTAAAATATATTTTCAAAATCAAGTCTATATTTTATTTAATGCGGTGGTTATGTGTTCTTGAGTCGAGGGTCTATTGGAAACAGCTCTCTACCTTCACAAAGGTAGGGGTAAGGTCTGCATACATACTACCCTCCTTAGACCCCACAATGTGGGACAATACTGTGTATGCTGTTGTATTTTCAAAATCAAGTCACTTATAAGATAATTATATATTCTATTACGACCTGTTGTTTCGTTCGCTTTAGTTTTTTTATTATTCTGTTGTAGTAACTAACTAACCTATTATTACATGTTAAAAACCATTAATAGTGCAACAAGTCTTTCCACTGCAAGCGTATGTAACATAAATTAAAATTCTATTTTTGTGTGTGAAAGTTATCTTATATCCTAGTTAAAAGAGCATGACAATTAGGTATCTTCTAGGTCACATACATTCTTTCGCAATAGGCAGTGAAGTAGTTTTTTTTTTTTTTTTGACAGGTCAAGCTCTTGGAGCAAACTCATTTCCTCCGCCTTATTTAGCACCTAATGTGGAGTCAAATGCCACACATATTGGAATTAATTATGCTTCTGGTGCTTCAGGAATTTTGGATGCAACTGGAACTGTTTTTGTTAGTATCTGTCTATCTCCCATCCCTTTTATATCTTTCGTTTATTGTCCAAGATTTCACTTATAAATAGCGACGGTGCAAAGAATTTTTATACTATCAAGGATTGTTTGGTAGGACGTATAAGAATAGCACTGAATAAGATGTACAGTCAGAACTCTCTATAACAGGATTTCTATATAACAACACCTCACTATAAAAGTCAAACTTTTCCGAAATTAATTTTTAAGTTATTTTATCACATCTCATCTAACTTAATGGGTTCATAATTTATTATTTGTACATATTTAATAATTCTTTGGGGAAAAAAAAGAGTATGAGAGAAAGCTATTGGTTCAGTTGGACCTATAGCTTCTACACTAGATACACCTCTTAATAAATGTACTATTTTCCCCCAATACATCCTATCAAACGGCCCCTCAATGTATATAACTTGTTATAGGAGATATCATATTTTAAATTCGAGACTAATTTCACTATTTGATGAGTTGCTATAACACATGTTCCATGTGCTGCAGATAGGAAGAGTGCCATTAAGAGAACAGATCAACAATTTTGAGGAAAGCAGAAGATACATTGTGAATGCAATGGGAGAGAAAAATGCAAAGAGATTTTTAATGAAAGCCATGTTTTCTGTAACAATTGGCTCTAACGATGTTATTAACTATTTCCAACCATCTATCCCTTTTCTGAGTTATGAAAAGGTTTCTCCAACCACATTCCAAGACTTTCTAGTTTCTAACTTGACTATGAACCTTCAGGTACTATTACTAGTTCATTTTTTATACCTACTCCCTCTATTTCATTTAAAATGTTGATATTTGATTCGGCGTGAAGTTTAAGAATGAAAAACTTTCTAACACGTGTTAAATATGTCATGATATTTTTGTAGCTGTAAGATAAAGAAAAGTTTAAAGTTAAATACATAAGCGGCCCCTTAAAGTTGCCGAAAATTTTCATTTTGGCACCTTAACTATAGCTTATTCTTATTACATGTTGTAAATCTTACGGAAAATACTTTATCACAAAACTTGTAAGAAATTCTTCAAAGCTTGAGCCGTATCAAAAACACTGTCCTTAAGGATATTTCACCCGGTTTAGGTGTATTCCCCATGATTCAACAAGTTCTTCTAATATAAAATTAGGAGCAGAAACTAATAAAAATTTATTCTTGGCAAAAAATCCAACAGAAGGAAGGAGAGTATTTTATGTATACTTACCGTCATAAAGGGAAAGAATGTTTGTGTGTGTATGTATATAGGTAAATGGAATCAAGAAGTTATAATGAGTGGTTAATGGTTTAACAGTTACAAATATGGAATAATGACCCATTATTGTATAAAATGATATCACTAAATGTCCAATAAAATGAATCTAGACATTTTTCGAAAATATAAATCTCGACACTTCCTTTTAAGATACTTATCTACTATTTTCTAACATTAGGCATTGCAACATGCTCCAAAGTGTACCTATTGAACACAAAATTTTCAATTCTAGAAAAACTCTGGCGGGTAATTATAAATGCTATTTGTGTGAAAAAGCAAACAAATAAGAATGTGCCACGTGTATTTTTGACTCCACGAAATACCAAAAAGGAAAGTATCATATAAAATAAAACAGATGAGGTAATTGTTTTAGATAATATATGTTAATTAACCTTTTCTTTTCTTGCAAGAAGAGACTGCATGAATTAGGGGCACGAAAATTCGTAGTGGTTGGTGTTGGACCTCTTGGGTGCATTCCATTTATTCGTGCCATCAAACTAATATCAGAGGGTAAATGCTCTGTGGAGGTAAACACATTAATCAGGAGCTACAATAAAAAACTCAAGGCAGAGTTAAATCGTCTGAACAAAGACATGGGACCTAAAGCCATCTTCTTATATGCAAATTCCTACGATGTTTTCAGAGACATTATACTAAATTATAAACAGCACGGTAAGTCTTAATTTCATTTAACTAGCAGTAACGTTGCGGCCCTTCTTCAAACCCTGAATACTATATTTTGTGCTTTAACAACGTTTTGTTTTGTGAAATTGGTAGGATTTGAGAATGGAGATGCGCCATGTTGCGGTGGATATTTTCCGCCATTCGTTTGCTACAAGGGGAAAAATGCAAATACAAGCTCTGTGATGTGTGATGATAGAGGAAAATATGTGTTTTGGGATGCCTATCATCCTACTGAAGCTGCTAATGTTATAGTTGCTAAAAAATTCTTGAATGGTGATCCTAGTGTAATTTCTCCAATTAACATTCGTCAGCTTCGCCATTATGGATATGGTTCTATTGAATAATATATCAATTTGGAGATATATATTATTACCTGTATTTCTTGCTAAATGCTTCTTACTTAATAATTCTATTAGCATGTTTAAGATCATATGTTTGAACTTTTTGTCCACTCAAATATTTTTACACAAAATGAACCGAAAGAAGTAATCGAGTATTATAAACTTTAAGAGTCTGTTTGGAAAGCCACCATGTAATTTGAATCGGTGTAATTAAACAGCCTAGTAATTATACAATTGTGTAATTACGAAGAACTGTTTGTTTGTCATAGTGTAATTACAAGTTTACTGTTTGGTTGCACAAGTGTAATTATACAGTTAGATTAAATTTTAAATTAAGTAAATATCAAAACTTAAAATAATATAATAAATATATGCCTATAAATTTTTATAAGTATAAATAATATTATATTTGTTATTTAAGATGTATTTTTTTCGTGAATATACATTAATTAGTAATCATATATTTATAACTAATATTGTAAAAATAATTTACATAGTATATTTTTAAAATTAATAATATTTAGTTTAGATACTTACAAAAACTAAAAATATACGAACATCATGGAATTCACATTTGATAAAATAAATTAATATTTATAAATATTGTGTCATAACATTATTAAAATGTTTGACAAAACTAATCTACCAATTCTAACTAAAAAATGAACAACATGCAATATGAGCCAATACTACTAAAACGAGTAAATTGAAACCATGAATATAACACAATTTCAAAATTCAAAAAAAAAAAATAGTTTACATATGTCAAATTCCAACATAATAATAGTAAGTTCCACTGCAACTTAAGATTAGGAAAAAAGGTAAGTTTATAACGGCATTCAACAATGAAATTTCACTTTAAGTGCATCACTCATTATATGCCAAGTTTATTAATGACCCATTATTTCTAATATTAGGAGGTGTAGTTTCAAAAAATAGAATAAGAAAAAAAATTTAAAAAAAAATAAAATATAAGCAATTACATGGAATCACCAGAAGTAAAGATAGAGAAATAAAAGATAAAATGTACAAAAAAAATATATTTTAAAATTCCAAAAAAATTAAAAAGTAAAAATAGAATTAAAAAATTAAAATAATAGAAATAAAAATTTATGAAGAAAAATTAAAATAAAAACAAAAAGGAAATAAACTAAAAACTCGTAATTACACAGTGTAATTACCACCAATTCTCACCTCTCCCTTGAGAATTGCAGCGTGTAATTACACCCCTCCAATTACAACCAATTCCATACTGACCAAGTAATTACTTGGCCAAACAAACATGTCAAACTATGTAATTATACCTAATTATACCCAAATCCATTTCCAATGTGGCTTTCCAAAGAGGCTCTAAGTAGACGTAAATTCCTTAATGCGATTACTTATATGCTCCCTTCCCAAATGGGTAAAAAAAATAAGGAAAAGAAGAATTAATAAAAGAATTGAACAAGCAGACAATTCTAGGTAGAGTAGGAAGTTAAAAGGGCAACAGTTTATTAATTGCATCAATAATGAATGCGAGACCAGGTCAACAGTTTATTTCTTATTTTATCCACCTCTGTTGTCTGGGTCAGTAGCTCTGCTATGAGAATAGGCACTTAAGAATCCAACGACTTGCTATAGTATAAGACAACTAACGCAACCAACAAGGGTTGTGGTTGAAGGGTAAGTACTCCTTCATTCTTAACCAGAGGTCTCGAGTTCGAGCCCTTGGGTATGGAGTCGTCTTTGTTAGGGAGCGCTTTACCCTTCAATGTGGGACTTTCCGACCCGAATTCGAAATTAATCGGGCCCCAATGTGAGTACCGGACACCGGATAGGAAACCAAAAATAAGACAAAATAACACAAGAATAGCTCCAATTTGATAGTTGTAACAATTCACAAAAACTATAGTAACTTTATATTCCCAAAGTGTTCACAACCCCTAACAAAACCAACCGTTACTCATCTAGTGGCGGAGCCACATGGCTCAAAGGGTGTCAATTGGCATCATTTGCCGGGAAATTACACTGTTTAAAAAAGTAAAAATTAATTTTTTTATGTATATATAATAAGTATTGAATTCCTTTTGATTTATTCGTATATTTACTTCTTTAAATTTTGATATTTTTTAATGAAAATTCTGAATTTGTTACGGTACTCGTCTCGGAAAAACAATGAAAAGAAAAATTAGCAAGTGTCTTAAATGAAGCTTGATTAGCTGTTGGAAGTTGCAAATGCCGAAGCCAATGCATTTTAGCTTAGAGTTATAAGCGCTGTGTTGGACCTGGGCCGATCTGTCCGGTTTCTAAATGGGATATGGTGTCCCTCTGCCAAGATTTGACTATTTCAAACAGGCAACCTCTTTTATTTGTATTTTTATATATTTTGAAAATATAATAAAAATGTTTAGGTGAGATGATCATACAATACCAAATGCCTTGAGTTCGAACACCATTGTCACTTTTTATCAAGGGAAAAAGGTCATTATTATCCCTGTACTATTGTAAATAGTACACGTTTGTCCTCCGTTTCACTTTACATTCAAAACCCACCCTACCGTTAACAAACTTGATGATATTGCCCCTAACTCTAACGGATCGCCAATGTGGCAGCTGACCCACCCCATTTTTTCTATGTTAGCTGCCAAGTCAGCCTAATCTCCACTCAACTATTCCCCTTCTCTTTCTTTCTCCTTGAGTTACGACAAAAGCAACACCAAAATGGTGGAACCTCTATCACTTTTTCCAAAAAGTAATATACAGCCCACACAAATGCACTCAACTTCGTTATCATATATTACAGATATATTCCTTGAGTTGCATGCTATATTATGTGCAAACGTTGGTCTGTCAATCTATTTACAAAGCCCAATTAGCAGAGAATGACTGATCAACCTGTTTCTAGTCCTTACAAAAAAATCCACCCCAAAAGATAGAACACGAAAATGAGGATAATCTACAGGACAAGAAATGATGGAAAGAGCAATTAACCAATTTACTGGGTCCTATTTTCACCTAGGTCCAAGGTAATCACAACAGTAAAAACACCCATCCGTGCCGATGAATAGTTTGGACGTGCATTCTAATATGTATTTTAAGTTTGAAAATTCAGTGGTGAAAATCTCGAAATCCACTATGATGTGTTCTTTGGGTGTCGAAAAATTGAAGTTGACAATTCGATTTGTTGGTTATATATGGAGGAAATTAGCTGGGTGTTGTTGTTTGGAGCTTAAAATCGTGAATCAAACATTAATTTCGTGGATTAAGTGAAGAACAAATTTGTACTCCATTTTTTGGGTTGCCAAAATTTGAAGTTGAAAAAAGACTCAAGAATCTAAAATTCTTGCTTGTTTCCTACTGAAATTGAGTGAATAAAAATAAAAATTGGAGCTTGAAATGGGAAGAATAACACAGATGATGTTTACAGATTTGAAAAAAAAATCGCCATTGAAGAATTTGTAAGAATGCTTGAGAACATAAAATGGTTATTCTAATTTGGTGAAGTTTAAACAAAGTGTTAGCTGGAATTTGTTGAGAATATTAATGTTGAGAAGTTATGGTTGTAACTTGAGTCAGTTTGATGAAAAACTTGGCATTGTTTGAATTGAAAAATTTGAAGCAAAGATGAAAAACTCATGGAAAAAGAAAAAGTAGGGAGCCTGGAGGGGGTGGGGGTGGGGGGATATGTTTTAATTTTTTTTAATTGAATAAATAAGTGACTTGGCAGCTGACATGGAAAAAATGGGGTGGGTCAGCTGCCACATTGGCGATCCGTTAAGGTTAGGGGCAATTTCATCAAGTTTGTTAATGTTAGGGTGAATTTTGGACGTAAAGTGAAACGGAGGACAACCGTATACTATTTACAATAGTATAGAAGTAATAATGACCTTTTTCCCTTTTATCAAAGTACTTCCACGTACTAAGCCTATTACAAAATATTCATGCTCGTACAATAGCCGTGTGTAAAAGAAAGAATTAAGTAATAAAAGTGTGATTTTTCTTACTATTTATATTTTTAGATGAGATGGTGGAAAAAATTCAATAATATGTATAATAAATGATCAGAAAGCCAGAAAGGACAACCCCACTGTTGGTTTCTAGAGTCTTCACTGTCTTGTTTTGCAAATACTACTGCAAGTCAACCCCTTGCTAACTTCAAACTGCCATGTGAAATGTGACCTGGTTTAGTGTGACCACAATTATCACAGATTAATTCACTTTTGTTATAAATAGAATTTTATTTATGGTGAATGTCTATATTTAGATAGATTCTAGAGTTTATTACTTGGTGGCTAAGTCACCCTCTCCCTATAAATAGATGATTCTATTCCATTGTAATTCATCCTAATAATCAATAAGAATTCTCTCTCCCTACTTTTCTCTGCAATATTCTTCTTCTTCTTTTATTGTTCATAACACGTTATCAGCACGAGACTCTAACCAATTGAGTAGAAGCTTTGGGGTTGAGCATAATGATTGTCAATTATTCCATGAACTTTCTTCATGATTAAATTCTGGATTTAAGGTAAGTATTTTACTGTATTTTTCTCTTTTATTCTATACTTTGATTTTAAATACAAGCAAAGACAACAAAGTTTGATTATAACTCTAATGGAGTTTGTAAAAAATTATAACCACCTGAAGTGGTAAAATTTCTATGCCTCGCCATGATCAAATTCATGTATGATTGTGGGCAAAGAATTGAAAATCCGTCCCATTGAATTTGCTCCATTCTCATTCCCTTAAGAGAATGTGATAGCAGTATGTGATAAGTCTGAAAGAAGACATAATTATCACTATGAATGTATCAATGGATATGGACGTGACAATAGACGAAATTATAATCGTCATCATTTGTGGTAGTGAGAACAATAAGGATTCTCAAAATAATTCTTTCACTCTGTGAAAAATATTTGTCATCGATTTGACATGAGATTTTGTAAAGCACATATAGATGATTATGGTCCATTCATGAATACATATTCATTCTTCAAAGAATATGAACGTGCTAGAGGTAGTGAATATACCGCACTCACCTCTAAAAGGAGGTTTGAGATGATATAAGAAAATAATGTCATTATTATGGCATGAATGGTCATTGGTCACGTACCTATTGTACGCCAAAATATTTTGGCATTGTGATTGTTAAAAGACAACGGTAATGCAAGAAACAGATCTTGCATATAATTTTGACCATAACCATAATGGTATAACTTTCTCTTTAAAAGAGATATTCACCATATGGGTGTTGATGAATATGTGGTACTACAAAATTAATTAAGAACTCTGCAAGAGCCAATTATATTATTTTGGAGAAACACAATTAATTACCAATAAGGTATTGTGTTGTAGTAAGTCTCAAAGAAACTTATTCAGTTTCCAAAGTATACGCGAAAGCCGTTGATTATATTGAGACTATAAATAAAGGAAAGATTTAATATCTTCTATTACTACAACTTGTAGCGGGGTAATATGTATGTGAAAAACTACCCGCTTTATTCTCCAATTTATACTACATAAACAAAAGAATACCACAATGAAGTGGATATTTATTGATATAAAAACCCATATCATAATAAACTTGGAGTTTATTCATAATTGCACACATCATGGTGTAAACCTGAAGTTTATCAATATTGATAATTTATCCAGTTGGCATAATTGGTTTAGCCATGTTAATTCAAGTATGATGTGCAAAAATAAAAGAGAATTCACATGGGTAAATATTAAAGAACTAGAAAGTTCTTTACGAATTCTCTTACATTGCTTATTCTCATTAATTAATAGACCAATTAAAATTGGGATTGAATCCCATGAATGCTGGAAATATCAAAGGTGAATATGGGCCCATTCATCTGCCATGTATACCACATAAGATGCATCTATGAGATGGTTACATGTGCGATTATTATTAACCCGCAACATGGTGTTTGCGAGGTAACTTGCTCAATAATTTGATTTAGAACATAATTTCAAGATTTTTTATTCAAGATAGTTCATCTTGATAAGTTGGTTTACATCACAGTTGGTTTAGAAAAATAATTTATTGAGTGCCTCCACTTAATAGCTAAACTATTGCTTATGAGAACAAAGTTATATATATATCAGTTTGATATACGTTATATACGAAAGTATATTACATTCTACCCTCACAAGTGGTTCAGGGTCAGGAACCAAACAATTCCATCTTATTATTATTGATGTGTAGTGTATATTTTGATTAACACCATAACGCACAAAGATGATGAAGCAAGTTAGTTTTTCTAACATGATGGGGAGAGATGATAACATTTGAGAAAAAGTTACCTAGAATGAATTATCATTTGTACATCTAGATCCTCGAATTAGATAATATGAACTTGAAGTTCATAAAGATAATTCAGTTGCAATATATTGCAAAGCATGCCAAACACATTTGCTGACCCAAAGAAAGTAACTATATTCTCATTGCAAATGCCCATATTAAGTCCTAGAAGGACAAAGTCTATGGTACGCTTAAAGCATATAGACAAATCGATTTCAAATAAACTTCTTGATAAAGAAGATGAGCAAATGATCGAAATGATCATAATAAAGGAGGCAAGTGATCTAAAAGATCACATGACATAACACTTCATAAAATCTCATGAGAGATTCAGGTACCTGAATATATGAATGAAGAGATCTCTATGTTATGTCTTTATGAAAAATAAGGAGGTTGGAACCGATATAAAATGTTTGTCGACGACATCTATAATAGCGCTAAATATATATGAGGATCTTAAGTCTGGAGAAACAATTTTGAATAGAATTGGTTTCATATGAAAGACATATAGTTTTGAACATGTAGTTCAAACACTTGAAAGTATAAAGTCAATGGTATGTGCAATCAGTTTTCGATATCTTATATGTCTAGCATGACATGAAAACTTGATATGCATCTAAAGTCTATTATATGGCTTATATGACTTAACAATCCCGAAGGATTTAAATTGCTTAAAGCATATAGAATTTATGGTCATGAAGTACTACATCCTCAATGCAATTTGTGCACAAATGTATCTTGCTATAACTATATGCATGATAATATGATAGCAAGAGTTTTCACCTCTATGTGAAGATATTGAACTGACGGTTACAACAAGATCATATGAAGATAATCCATCTCTATCAAGAATGATGATTTCAAGGTGAATATATTCATTCAAGTTAATATGGCTAATTTGTTTATCGAATATCTACCAAAGATCTTTTGAAGATGGTGCACAAGATTGGAATACAAATGCTTAAGGATGTGAAGGCGTTGTACTCTTTTTCCCTTACAAGATTTTGTCCCACTGGGTTTTCCTTGTAAGGTTTTCAACGAGACAACCAATAGGCGCATTTCTAAACATGTGTACTCTTTTTCCTTTTCTAGAATTTTTTTCCCACTAGGTTTTATTTTAGTTAAGGTTTTAACGAGGCATATTATCTGTTGAATAGACATTCAAGGGGGAGTGTTATAAATAGAATTTTATTTATGGTGAATGTCTATATTTAGATAGATTCTAGGGTGTATTACTTGGTGGCTAAGTCACCCTCTCCCTATAAATAGAGGATTCTATTCCATTGTAATTCATCCCAATAATCAATAAGAATTCTCTCTCCCTACTTTTCTCTGCAATATTCTTCTTCTTCTTTTATTGTTCATAACAACTTTATTATCCTGTTTCTGGAACTTTTTTCTCTTTATCTATGAATTTCATTTTCCCTTATTTCCTTTTCGAAAGAAAAAAAAAGACAGTACACTTTTCGTATTTGTCACATGCCAGTTCTCCAATCAATTAAGTTTCCTTTTTTTTTTTTCAATTCTGAACAACAACTTGGGCTGGATATGGGGAACTGGATCATTGAATTAGCTAGCCCAACTCTAGCTCATGTTTGGACACGAAAGTACATTTTGCAGCAGCCCGTGCAAAAAAAGTAGATGACACTAGGTAGCCACTCTAAAGGGCTCTGCTATATTAGGAATTAGCCGTCCTGAATTTCAGTTATGACAAAAATATCCTGATCCTGAAATTAAGATTTTTAGTTTAAAATTTCAGTATTGTTTACCCGTAAAACGGTACAGTTGAATTTATACGTGGTTTCCAGACAAGTGAATTAATATGATCCTGAAATAATAAGATAATTGAAGGAATATGCAATACTTAGCTTTGAGATGGAGACGAAATAGCAGAAACAGTAGTTCCGGGAGCAGCGCTTCCGGGCACAACAACAATGAAATCAAAAAAGAAAGAAGATAAGATTGTATTAAGCTTTGGATAGAGTGTAGCGTAAGTTTGCTAGAAAGTTCATATCCTTTACAATGATAACTGAGCTCAAAAGTTATTGCTACGTCTAGGGATAGGAGGTCCTAGGATCGCGCCCTTCTTTAATGTTAATTATGAGGGCCATTGATGAAGATGTAACGGTAAGTATAAATGCCAGATTCCTTATAACGGCCAATTGTACTTAGCTGTGGAATATTCTCTATTAAATGCTACCGCGCGAAGAATATTTATTACATCCGTATGAGCGCTATCCTTCCCGAGGACAAACAAAACAGTTGCCTTTGGTTTTGGCCATTCCCTCGTCTTGGGCTCTACGTGTCCATCTTTTGGACGGCCACGTAGCATAGCATATTTTACCCTATACAAGTACTAACTAATCCCTAAATAGCATCCCAGAAAATGGCTATTTGTGCACTTGCCCCGCGATTTTATAATGAGCCACATATTCAAAGATTATTAAAGCTGATATATTCAATAAGAGAGTAGTTTGGAACATGGTCCAATCTCTAGTTTGGATTAAAAGGCAACATCTTGTTATGCAAAGGAATCCACAAAAAGTATTCTATGAATGAAATGGTTTTGAAAAATCCCAAGTATTCTAAGGATGAAATCGTTATGCAGAATTCAAAAACTACGACAGTGGAGACAAAGGAGTAAGAGGAAACAAACTTTGCAATAAAATGGCAAAAGGATCCACAACTAGCATATTGCGACGAAATCGTATTGCAATATCTAAAAAAGTAAAAACTACGAAACGGTTGGAGATGCGGGGTATCGATCCCCGTACCTCTCGCATGCTAAGCGAGCGCTCTACCATCTGAGCTACATCCCCAGGTTGTGACTAAAAAGGCATTATGTTTTTATAATTCTGTGGCCTATGTGAAATAAGAGGCTGCTAGAGACTATACTGTGATCACATTTGTGTGGTCAGAAGTTTTTCTGTGCAGAACAGAAAACGCAAGAAAGGATGAAAAACAATAAGAAAAGAACAAAGAAATGGTGGGCATTGCCTAGACCGTAGAAGTCCCACGATATGCATCGACTATCACTGCTAATTACACTGAACCAAATTAAGAGCAGCTGATTAATTACGTGAAATTATTAATTCATGGTGCTACTTAGCATCCCAACTCTTCCCTCTTCATACCCAACTCTCAATAATTACACCTTTAATTATCGCTCTCAGCGACAAAGCCAGAGCCAGAGCCAAAACCAGAACCAGAGACGATGTGTTAAAATTCATAGTAAAGTTATCCGATGTGGGATAGCGGAGCCATCAGGGGAACCAGCACCATTAGGACAGAAGACAAAATACAATGATGGATTGTTTGAGAAGGCATTCATGACTCTTTTTGCAAGGAAAATGGAGAATTTTGCGGCTAAGTCAGCGAGTAAAAATGGTTCGCAGAAAGAGGAGAAGAAGAAGGGTTGGTTTGAATATGATTATGATAGTTTTGTACATGTATCGAGAAAAGTAATGCAAGGGAGGTCACGGTTGCAGCAGCAGCAAGTGGTTCGTGAGGTCCTCATGTCAATGCTTCCTCCTGGTGCTCCTGCTCAGGTACTAGCTAGCTACTGTAATTTCTTCCTCCATGTTTCACTACTAATATCACTCCGCCATTTACTTTTTGCTCAAACAGTGTATTTTAAAAAATTCGTTAATATATATATATATATATATAAATATTAAACTTAGAACTTAATTATTAGCACTTTAAGTTGTCGTTTTAAATCCAGAACTCATAATGTTGAGTTTCCAGCAATCCCAAAATCAGAGATTTAAATACGAGAAAGAAACAATCAAAATGGTAAATTCTGGTATTGGTAAATGCTAATTTATGAATAAGATTATTTATATCAATAGCAAAAGTGTCATGATATGATCTCTCTTTATTGAATATTTACTTTATTTATATGTGCTATTTGCATTTTCAAGAACAATTACTATTAAGGATAAAATAGGTACTGTAATATGTAATTTATTTTACCTTTAAATTTTAAAATGACAAATAATTTAAAATAACTATTTTACAAATCACGACTTTTAATTTGAAAAAAATAACTTGATTGTAACTTCTTAATATAGCTTTTAGATATTTTAAACTATTAATGATTATCACTTTTATAGTACTTTACGTATTTTTTTTAATATATAAATCTTATTTCAAAAAAATTCAAAAATTTATGTTCAAATTTACAATCAAAATTAAGAAAATTGACTCTGGAAATCCGAGCTCCGCCATAGGAATTGGGACAAAGGGAGTAACTTCTATAATGACAAAAAATGAATCTAGAAACTGTAAATGTTAAAGTGGGAATAAATCTGAAGTGTGAGAAGGAAAATATCAAATTTATGATGTTGAAAAACAAACAAATCTGTAAAGTTGAATCTTTCTAAGCTTTTGAAAACAGCATGTGATTTGTTCATATATATTTACAGTTCGAAAGGTTCACGAATCATGATGGACTAAAATGTATCCTTAATTGAATTAACTTAATTCATTTAATTTGTTGCAGTTTAGGAAATTGTTTCCACCTACGAAATGGGCAGCAGAATTCAATGCCGCAATTACTGTGCCTTTCTTCTTCTGGTTAGTTGGTCCTTCTGAGGTACATTAATCAAACCACTCTCACATATAAATTCCAATTTTAGTAACTACCTATAGATCAGTCGGGATGTTAAATGGGCGGGTTTGAGCTAATTTTGGGCGGGTTAAAATAGGATGAGTCAATAAATGACCCACCCAAAAGTTATTTACTTGGGCTGAAATGAGTGGGGTCAAGATGGGAAAAAATTTGAGTCATATCCTGACCCGTCCAACAATTACCAAGCTTTAATTAATATTCCCTCTGTTTCATATTAGATGAGGTACTTTCCTTTTTGGTCTGTTCCAAAACAAATGACACATTTCTAAATTGGAAATAATTCAATTTTAAACTCTTTCATTTTACCCATTTACCCTTAATGAGAAGCTTTTATAGCCACACAAATGTCATGGCCCTACAAACTTCTTACCCCTTAAACTTTTAAGATCAGAAGTTTCAAAAGTCTTATTCTTTTTTCTTAAACTCCGTGCCGAGTCAAACTATCTCATTTAATATGAAACGGAGGGAGTATGAGTTATTTTCTTATGAATTGTTTAATTACCAAATAAGACTTTTTTCTTTTATTATTGTCATATATAACATATCAATATTGCTAATAGATTAATTTGGATTAAAAATCAGCCAAACTTTAGATAGACTGAGATGGGATGGTTCAAGATGTGCTGAGTTCAGCAAAGAGCGGGTTAATAAACAGCCCAACCTTAGGCAGGTTGGACGAATTGAATAGGTTTGGGCTCAAATTGATATCCCTAAGATCAGTTTATAATCTCTACAACAAACTACTCTTAGTTAACAAGCATCACTGTATTTTGAAAAAAAAGAAAGTTCTATAATTACTAGCTTAGCGTTAATAACTTCAATTTTTATCAACAGGTTGTGGAAGTGGAGGTTGGTGGGGTGAAGCAGAAAAGTGGGGTTCACATTAAAAAGTGCAGGTAAAATTTCGTGATTTTACTATTATCGTATTATTTTATGAATTTACTATTATAATTGGTAAATTCAAGTACTTTAGTGTGACAAAAGAATATTTGGTTTTATGTCAAAGGTATTTGGAGAACAGTGGATGTGTAGGAATGTGTGTGAACATGTGCAAAATACCAACACAAGATTTCTTCACAAACGAATTTGGACTTCCATTAACAATGAATCCAAGTTCGTGCCCAGCAACCTTATTTTTCGACACGAAGTATAAATAACACTACTCTATATAATATTTGTTGTTCAATAATGCAGATTTTGAAGACATGAGTTGTGAAATGGTGTATGGACAAGTACCACCGCCATTTGAAGAAGATCCAGTGGCCAAGCAACCTTGTTTAGCTGATATATGTAAGTCTTCCAAACTTAATTCCTTCGTTTGGGATAGAAAGATATGCCAAATTACTAACAAATAATAAGTTGCTTTTATCTACACAGGTACCATTGCAAATCCCAGCTCAAGTTTCTGTCCGAAACTCCAAGCCTAATTAGGTGAAGATGAGCGTATTCAATGAGCATGACGGACCAAGTTTAGTATAGTACATATCTTTTGCATTCTAGTACACAATTTACACCCATAAAAGAGTATATATATGTTACTCCATACAAATGTAAGTGAAAAAAGTTATTGGAATGTGGAATCCATAATCATAGGGACGAGCGATGTGAATTCTCTATGTTTTGATGAACGATTTTTACGATATGCTTCCTTAAAATACAAAAATTAAATATATTCTTAGTTTCTAGTTAAGTGCAAAGTGCTATATCAGTTCGACTAACCTACCTACATCAGTAGTACATTACAGGAATGAGGGGTTGTTTGATCACTGTCCAGCCATTATAAGTTGGGACACGGGAAGCCAACCGAAGAATAAAATATTCAGGTACTTCAATATATGGAGCTTGGCCTCAGACTTCAAGGAGACATTAAAGGCAGGATGGAGGACTGATAGGAAGGGCACAAAAATGTATGAACTAGTGGGAAAACTACACAAAATCAAAAATACTTTGCAAGAGCTGAACAAAGATAGATTTAGTGAGGTTGAGAGGAAGGCAGATGAGGCAATGTAGAAACTCCAAAAATGCCAGGAAAGAATGCAAAGGGATCCATGTAACATTCAACTGATAGAAGAAGAAGGTATCTTGTCCCAAGAATGCAAAACATGGAATAATGCAAAAGAGCAGTTTTTGAGGCAAAAATGCAAAATACAGTGGCTGATTCAAGGAGACATGAACACAAAATTTTTCCATAGTATGATGAAGGCAAGAAGGAACTCCAATAGAATATTCTCTATTGAACTGCAGATCGACAACACACAAATGATCTAGAGGGGTAGCTAAGGCATTGATAACCTTCTATGAAGGCCTATTGGGAACCAATCAAAGGGATAAGGAGCATGTGTGTAGCTGTTTGGTAAGACAGGGGCCTACTATTTCTGCTATGCATAGAACAAAACTAAAAGAGCAATTTACTGAGAATGAAGTAAAAGAAGATTATGAGCTATTGCCGGAGACAAGGCACCGGGACCAGATGGCTTTGGTAGTCAGTTCTTTAAAGATGGATCAGAAATTGTAGGGAAGGATGTGGTGGATGCTCTGTTAGAATTCTCTAGGAATAGGAAAATGCTTAAAGCATGGAATAACGCAGTAATTACATTGATACTAAAAAGTGCACATGCATCCAGTGTAGGGGATTACAGGCCTATAGCATGCTGTAATAGAATATACAAGATCATATCAAAGATGCTTTGTCACAGGCTCAGAATAGTCCTCCCTGATCTAATATCGAGCAATCAAAGTGTATTTGTAACTGGTAGATGTATAGTGCAGAACATTCTCATCTGTCAAGATATAGAAAGACTATATAACAGGAAAGCCACAACCAAGAGTTGCTTGATTAAAATTGATTTCAAGAAAGCATATGATACAATAGAATGTGGATTTATGGAGGAAATGCTATATGCTATGAACTTCCATGGAAAGTTCATTAAATGGGTGATGAACTGCATAACTACAACACAGAATAACATTGCTTTGGATGGGGGTTTGTATGGAAATATTCAAGGTAAACGTGGATTGAGGCAGGAGGATCCAATATCACCACTTCTTTTTGTCATATGCATGCAATACTTCTCCAGAATAATGAAGAGGGTAGCAAGTATGCCAAGATTTGAGTATCATACAAAATGAAAAGGGCTGAGGCTGAATCACTTTTTTTTTGCTGATGATGTTCTGCTATTTTGCAAAGGAACATACCAGTCAGTCCTGCTAATGCTTAGAGGACTTCAGTCATTCTCAAGGGCTTCAGGACTCTGCACAAATACAGGAAAGTCTAATATCTTCAGTGCCAATATGGAGCAGCAAAGCCTGATAGATCTGTGTGACATAACAGGCTACCGGAAGGGGACTTTACCATTAAAGTATTTGGGTGTTTCAATTTCAACTAAAAAGCTAAATGGCATAGACTGTGAGATGTTGGTAAATAGGATGACAACAAGAATTAAAACATGGGGATTAAGGCACCTATCATATGAAGGCTGAGTGCAGCTTATCAACTCAGTACTGATGCATTTTCTCACATATTGGGGTTTCATTTTCCTCTTACCTAAAACAGTGATGAAACAGATTACAGCAATTTGCAGAAATTTTCTATGGGATGGGAAGAAGGTAAGCAATAAAGCACCACTGATAGCATGGGACTTGGTATGTAGACCAAAGAAAATAGGAGGCTTGGGAATCACAAATGGGGTGATATGGAATGAGGCTGCAATAGCCAAGTATATTGCTTGAAAGACAGATGATCTATGAGTAAAATGGATAGACCACATATACTGAAAAGGGTAGTTCTTGGTGGAAATATAAACTTCGTAATGATTGTTGCTGGTATTGGAGGAAAATATGCTCGACAAGTTTGCACAGGGGTATGTTGACCAAGGTTGGCTAGGAAGAAACAACAGATATAACATTAAAAGTGGCTACCTCTGGAGACTAGGAAACATGAAAAGTTTGCTTCGGAGTAGATGGGTATGGAACAAAGGAAATGTCCCTAAACACAGTTTTATATGCTGGCTGGCTTGACATGAGAGACTGCTAACAAGAGTGAGATTGTAGAAAATGAGGATAATCCAAGATACAAAATGTACAATATGTGACAATGCACCTGAGACGATAGAACATCTGTTCTTTGAATGCTGGTTCTCAAAAGCTTGTATACTGGCAATGACAAAATGGTTGAATATTGAAATACCAAATACCATATTACAAGGTATATGGAGAAGGCTAACAAGAGGGGCCAAAGGAGAAAGTTGCAGAACATACGTAAAGTCAGTAATAGCAGCACTGGTATATGCTATATGGAAGGCACGAAATAAAGCATTATGGTATCTCCTAGTCTTAGGACAATACGTACGCAAATTCAGAAGGAAAGCAAGCTAATGAATGATAGAATAGGCAGTAAGAAATGAAGCAGAAGGGATGGGGAGTGGATAGAAGATCTGTATAGACAAAGGTCATAGCACAAAAGAATACATAGGCCAATTTTGCGACTATGGAAAGATTATAGGTAGCAATACCTAGCTTTCATAGTCTGTATAGATTTAAAGTGTATACCTCATATAGTTGTTATTGGGATGATTAATAATATTGTTTTCTTCAACAAAAAAGAAGTTGCTCGGACTCTTCACTTTCGGTGTTGCACCTGTATATCGACACGACGTGGATGTGTGATCTGTATCGGATCTAGTCAACCGATTTTGGGTACTTTGACCAAAATCGATGGAGAAATTCGGGACATATACAATGATTTTTGAAATCAAAACAAAATTAGAGTGAAATTGAAGAAAATGAAATACCTTGTATATAGAAATTTCTATGTCTGTCCTTTTCCTTTTATCTCCTTTTCGGATTCTCCTCTTGATCAATACTTTTTCCTTCTAAAAAAATCTTGTAAGTTTTCCACATAACATCTTATAATTTAAATATAATTTTATAATTCTATTTTTAGATTATTGAATTATTTTTAGCCAAATCATGCACCCGTATACGTGCCTGATCCGCACCCCAATCTTAAAATTTACATCATGAAAGATTCGATCTCTAAATCCGCACTAGTATTGAACACCTGCATTTGAGTCCGAGCAACTTAGCCTATAAGAGCATGTCATCAAGGACAATAAAAATGTTTTAAATTGTTTTATATAAATATGTCTCAATTTTTGGGTTCAAGAAAGAAAGAAATCAATAAAAGGATTTGACACTATGGTACATATGTGACAGTAATTTTTTTTTTTTTACATGACTAACAAGTATGTAAGAAAATCTTATTCGACAATAATTACTATGATTAGAACTTTATAATCACTGAAATAAGGAGGGAAATCCTACTTGTGATGCTAGGATTCATCTCTAGGCCATGAGATTCGAACGGGTAACACAACTGGAAAAATATAAATAATTTTTGCCTCATACATCCAACTAACTAAACTAAACATAACCGCATTGCCCATTTCTGGAAATTCATTCAGATTTGATCTCTTTTCCTTTTATAGCATCTCCTATTTCCTTAAAGAGTAATTCCATTTCTCAAATCAGAAGGAGAAGTACATTGTGTCTCTTCTCTTTCTTAACGTACACTGCACACAAAAACCAATATGTAAATCACAAGAAAATTAAAAGACCATTTAATTTGCTTATCCTCCATTTGCAATTACATCATGTTGCGTCCAATTTCTGTTCTCTTGTTTCTCTTTATTGCATCATTTTATCCATGTTCTTTAGCTGAAATCAGATACTCTGATGTTCGTTCTGAGGATCATCCAATTATACCATTCGATGAATTCGGATTCACACATAGGGGCAGATTAGAACTCAATGTCTCAAAAATTTCACTTGGTGTCCCAAACAGTCCTGCAAATCTTGATCTATCCAAAGTTGGTTTCTTTCTTTGTACACGTGATACGTGGATGCATGTTCTTGAACAAATTGAGGATGCCGAAATCACGTGTGCCCTCCAATCTGATATTGTTAAGGTTGTCTACACCTTTGACAAACTACGTGACAACTCCTCTTTCGACACACTTTTTGTCGAAACGGATGCTGATCAGTACTCTCTTGTGTTTGCTAATTGCTGTCCTCAACTCAAAGTTACTATGTCCGTTCGATCAGCTATGTATAATCTCGATGCCAAATCAGGCAACCGCGATTATCTCTCTGCTGGCAAGGCGATTTTACCTAGGATTTATTTCTTATTTTCGCTTGTTTATTTCTCCTTGGCGATCTTTTGGATTTTCGTGTTGTATAAGAAGCGACTTACCATTCACGCGATCCATTTCTTCATGCTCGCGGTGATTTTATTAAAAGCGTCGAATTTGTTATGTGAAGCAGAGGACAAATCTTATATCAAACGAACGGGTAGTGCTCATGGATGGGATGTTTTGTTCTATATTTTTAGTTTCTTGAAAGGGATCATGTTGTTTACGTTGATCGTGTTGATTGGGACGGGTTGGTCATTTCTCAAACCTTATTTACAGGACAAGGAGAAGAAGGTTTTGATGATTGTGATACCACTTCAAGTTGTAGCAAACATAGCTCAAGTTGTGATAGATGAAAATGGACCTTATGGTGAAGAATGGGTGACATGGAAACAGGTTTTCTTGCTCGTTGATGTGATCTGTTGTTGCGCGGTTCTTTTCCCTATAGTTTGGTCAATTAAGAATTTACGCGAGGCTGCAAAATCTGATGGAAAAGCTGCTGTGAATTTGATGAAATTGACACTTTTTAGACAGTACTACGTCGTGGTTATATGTTATATTTATTTTACAAGGGTTGTGGTTTACGCCTTAGAAACAATTACATCGTATAGGTACCTTTGGACTAGTGTAGTGGCAGGGGAAATCGCAACTCTGGCTTTTTATCTGTTTACTGGATATAAATTCAAGCCTGAGGTACACAATCCATATTTTGTTATTGATGACGAAGAGGAAGAGGCCGCGGCTGAGGCATTAAAGGACGACGAGTTTGAATTGTGAGCAAACCCTAGAGAATTGAGGATCTCATGATCAGCTTTGAAATGGTTGAAGTGATGGTGAGAATTGAAGTGCAAATCTTGTAGATCAGTTTTATTTTGAAGCTTTGTTTAACTTATGTGTTGTCAATTTTTCTATGTATTTGTACTTGAGCATGTCATATAATTTCTTGGACTAGCATCTTGTCTTGTAAAGAACAATTGCTCTGTCAATTTTTGCATGTTTTTCAGTTTAATCATTGTTGACAATGGATAGGGTGATATGCTATTGGACTACTTTTGTAGCATTTACATATCTCGTAAGTACAATCAAATTATTTTTCACTGAAGGAGTCATCTTTAAGAATATGACTTTACAATGATAGGATGGACCAGAACAGAAATATAAATTCGTTTCAAAAGATATATGAGGGCGGCGAAAATAGATCCTATGGACTTGAATCAGTGCATAATTAGTATGGGCAGAGATTGGAGAGTCATCCACTAAATGGACAATGTTGTAACTCGTGAAATGACCTCCTTACAAGCAAGAACAACTAGGCATGCTTCATTGGTACTTTGTGAATTGAGGGACAAACTGATTGTAAAAACTACAAACCCCGCTCTGCACGGCTACTTGGAATTTGCACGGCCACCCGAAAACTAGCCGTGCTGCTATATATATATATATATATATATATATATATAGCCACTTGGAATCTACCCGTACTCAGTACGATACTTTAACCTATTCATGCTTTGCACATGGACTTGGGACCTATAGAGCATGGCCACTTGGAACCTACCCTTGCTCAACATGGTTACCTGAAATTTGAAATCTATCCGTGCTTAGCATAACCACTTGGAATTTGCTTTTGCTCAGCACTTGGGACCTATCCCATGCTTAGAAAAGCTGCTACTTGGAACCTACCCGTGCTTAGCATGATCACTTTGAACTTATCTGTGCTCAACACGACAACTTGAAATCGCCCCATGCTCAGTGTAGACACTTGGAATCTATCGGTGCTCAACATGGCACTTAGAACCTACCCGTGCTCAGCATGACAGTTGGAACCTAACCGTGCTCTACACCATACTTGAAAACTACCCATGCTATGCACAGTCACTTCGAACATATACGTGCTTTTTACGACCACTTAGAATCTACCCGTGGTCAGCATGACTATTTCGAGCCTACCCGTGCTCAGCACGACCACATGTAAACTATCCATTCTCAGCACGATAACTTGGCACTTACCTTCCTCAGTAGTTGGAACCCACCATGTACTTAGCACAACTACATGGAGCCTACCCATGCTCTTCACGACCACTTGAAATTTATACGTGTTCAGCACGATTACTTGGAACTTATTCGTGCTCTGCACGACCATTTGGAGCCTACCCATGCTCAGTACGACCACTTGGAACCTACCATGCTCAGCAAGGCTACTTAGAACCTACTCGTGCTCAGCACGACCACTTGGAACCTCCCCGTGCTTAACACGACCACTTGAACCCTATCTGTGCTCAGTAAGCCCACTTGCACTACTAGAAATCCGCTAAAAACCGATCAAAAGTTTCCGACCAACTTTGGTCGGTCAAAAAAGCGACCAAAACCGTCCGGCTTGGACGGAAACTGGAAAAAAATATTTTATATTTTTTTAAAAAATAAATACCGACCAAAGTTAATCAGTAAATGTCACGACCCGGATTTTCCACTGTTGGAATCGTGATGGCGCCTAACTCTTAGAATGCTAGGCAAGAACAGATACAGTTCTATCACACCAAT